TTTAACACACCTTTCAATTCACTGTATAATATGTGTGAACAACAACAGGTCAAAGAGAATTAACTTGTGAAATATCTTGCATTAATTATTGATATAGAGGAGAATTCTCAGTACCAGAATGCTGAAATAAAAAAGAAGAATTGTTGAGGAAATTAAAGTCTCTGAAATGCTAGTTCAGTATTTAGCAACTAGACTAGCAATCTTTTTGATAACAATTATTAATTATAAGTCATTTCAAAGTCAGAACTCCTGTGTATCTGCTCCATAACACAAACTCAAAAAGTCAGCCAAATAGTTATTCTAGCAGAAGGAGACATACACATCTAATCACTACTTTTATTAGAAAGCAATTCTTCAATTCTGTTCAAATTAGTTAGAAAAAGCTGAAAGCAGTGCTATTTTAAGTGATACATTTGTTTGAGAGCTGTTCAGAACAAATGCTCTCTACAGATTTTCAGTAACTTATTGTTCAGTAGTTCAAAGTACCAAATTCAAGTATCTTCTCAGTCAAGACCAAGCTTATTTTGAAGCAGTGTTCTTAATTATTGAAAGAAGATGCATGAAATCAGAGCTAAGTCATCTGCCATACTTGTTCTTTTCTTAGCATACTCTCACAATTGCGGACAAGATTCTCCACACTATATATTATAATACCTCTCTGTTCTAAATGTTGGATAACTATATTTGTTAATTCAAGCAGAGTATCATTCATTCCACCACTGCTATTATTCTGTCCAGTAAGAACAACACATTGAAGCTTTGCAGCAGCATCCAGAAACTATTATTTTTAAGTCTATTTGTGTACTCTAACAATACCTTCAATATTGATACCAGAAGAAACAGAGTTGGACTAAGAATAATTACTGTCTGATAAAGTAATTGAGTTTAGGTGTGCAAGCTTTTCTCTGGATAGGTGATGCTTTTGATTGTTGTTGCATTTCTGAGCTATTACTGTTAGATAACATTGTGTCTGGGAAGTCAGATAATCATGAAAGATAGAATTATATTGAGCAATTATTTACTGAATAACATCAAGTAGTTTCTTTCTGTTCTTCTGTGTGCTAAGCTTCTCCCCAAATATCTGTTGTAGGCATATTTCTCATTCAACAGAGCAATATAGTAATCAATATATATTACAGTTAATTTTCAGTTCATGTTTAATCACCAACACTTTCCAATTTTTGACTTCCAGTAATCTGGTGCTAGTTACACAGCTTTGCCTGAAGAATGTATTTCTGAGAACCATTGTCAGTGTTACTCAAGAAAATCACTTAGTAAATAACAGATTCTCAAATTAAATCACATGTAATAAATAATCAAAAAAAAAAAAACATGCAACTCATCAAGTTTCAGAATGCAAAACATGAACTGAGGCCTGTAAAGCCACTGTAAGAGATTGAGAGATATTATAGATCACATGACTGATTAACTAACAAGTTAGTTAACTAAGTTATAGAGTACAGAGTACTTTGTAACTAGTTAGCCAGTTAGGTAACTAGTTACTCTGTATTCTGTACAGCTGTGGAAAATGCTTTGATCTTCACCAATATAGTTACAGAGTACAGATAACAGGGCTTTAAAGTCATGTTAGAATATATATCTAGCTGTACAGCAAGAGTCTGACAAATATGCACATCTGTTGTATAGCTAGATATTATGGCCATCTAACTAACTATATAATCACCATAAAGATGTTCTACCCTATCTCTGACATAAATAATTTATTGTAATATTATTAAGTAGAGCAGTAAAAAGAATGTATTCAACAATTTACTGAAACTTTTCAGTTACTGATGAGTATTCTTGAATATTTTAATTACTCAGTCAATTCTTTTTCAGATTCTCCATCAGATTTTGCTTTTCTATTCACCATCTCTTGTCAAAGTTTAGAGGAAAACTTATTTGCTAGTGCTGTACTGGTGTTCATAAAATCCAGATTATATAGACTTGTATACTGGTCTCAGTTAATATAGTTGTTCACATAAAAAAGTCTTTTGTCTTCATGCAAAGACTTGTCTTCTGTTGCTGGAATAACATGTGCATTACAGATAATATTCTCTATAAAGTAGATTTCTTATTTGTCAAGATTGTAGCTTTTTAACAAAGACTTTTAAGATATTGCAGACAATTCTATCTTAACCATGCCATGAATCTTATATGGAATTCTAGTATAGATCTGTAACATGTTAATAAATATGCCACTGTACATTGCAAGTCACACAGATAATATATTAGTCTTTTAGCTTCTTGTATATTTTGTCTATTTATGATCAAGAACTGTTATCACAACCACAAGCTGGCCAACCAACTTGCCATCCAATATGAATTTACTTGTCTGGAATAGTTCATATACTTGAACTCAAATGTAGTTCTGCCATCAGAAATTTGTTTTTCCCATTCATGCTGGTGAGTAATGTACAATTTTCTTGATCAATCTTTCTAAGTTTGAGTCATTCTTTCTATCTGGTTTCCAAGTTGTAATAGATTGATGAATTTGAAGGCAGTATGTCTTGATCCAATTTGATTAAGACTCTTGTTCATTGCTGAAAGCACAAGTTTCTCCAGATTTTGTAATATTCAATTGCTTTCGCATTTCTTGAACAAATACAGCAAGTGTCTCAAGAAATTTATTATTCAGGCTTCCCAATTAGCTGGCTAGATCTGCAGCAGTGAGTTAATTCTTGGGAAGATTTCTAGAACTCAGTCCAGACACCTGCTACCCCAAGTCATGTATAGATACTGTCTCTGATGGACATGTATTCTTGGCTTCTAGCTCATTGGCTGTTCTTACTGCTTCTTCATTCAGGATTTTATTATTAAGTGCTGTGTTCTTGATTAACATCATGTTTATATAGTGGATGTTGTGTTTGATTATTTGGTTCTGATATGATTCTTGCTTGTTAATTCTACTGAATGGCTTTTTGACTAAATATTTGTGTGATGTCTTATAATTCTCAGTGTCAAATTCATCAAGACTTCCAAATTCATAAATAAATTGTGTGTAGTGAACAAGTACATAGAACTTCAGAAAGTTAAAATACTTACTCTCAGCAGAATCTTTATTATTTGTCTGGTAGTCACTAAAAGCTTATTTAAGTCTGTCAATTCAATACAGTGCATGTTCAATATATTTTAATGTATTCTTATCATGCAACCAATATCATGTGAGGAAAAGCAGATCAAGTACAGCATGAGTAAATAGTACAGCAGCTGACTTTATCTTTGTCAGTATTAAAGCAATGACTATAATCAACTGTCACACAACTGCTCTCTGTTAAACTCTAGTTTATTGACTTATAGTGCTGAACTTCTTGAAGTAAGTGAATGATACACAGAAATCTGTTAAAACCACTCATCAAGCCTTGCAATACCTCCAGTATCTGATATAGTAACAGTGGAATTAGAGTCTTTCTTGTCTTGGCAGGTTGCTTTGAAGATATTCTTGATTAAAGTCTTTAACCAGTCAATCAAATAATTCACTAGCTATTTAAGCAATTGATGGAGAATGTCAATCATTATAATACTGTAAATATTTACTAATAAATAGTGCCATATAAAGTTCAGAACAGCATAAATCTACATTTCTTTAGTTCTTGTTGGAATTTCATCAAGTCTTCTGGTTATCATTGCATCCTGCTGGTTCTGAAGCATTGCCAGTGTGTATTTATAGATTCTTATTGGCCAGAATTCTGTCAGATTCTATTGTGCATTAGATAGAACAATGCAAATGGTGCAGTATCTATTACTTTTGACTTCAGTTATCAACACCTGTTCTTCATAGTCAGCTATTATTCTGGTGAGAATAGGAAAACAGTTTCAAACTCACCCATCAGCACATTTAACCATGAAGCCTGTTTTATACAAGTGTTTAAGTGTTAATTAACTCAAGCAACTGTCAGTCAATTTTGCCAACAAATTCAGTATATATCTAGCCATACAGCTAGATTATATATTGCAATAACAGAGACCTGTATTGCTTTAAAGTAAGACTTACACTTCAGTATAATTCTTATAAACTTATAATACACTCAGAATTTGAGTTCCTGTGATGTATTCTTTAGTAATGAAAGAAATCCAACAAGTATTGTATCATTCATATTATAAGACTGCCTTGCCATATTGCTTAAATTTCTAATTAAGAGATATACAGATCATGGGTTCAAGTCTTCATGTTGGTTGGTAAGCTGTGTTTTATCTGTCACAATCAACACTGGTACTATAGTTGCATTATCAGGAAAGTTCTTCTGTATATTTCATCACTAATTTCCAGTATGCATTTCTGTATACACTTGATCATTGCTCTGATTAAAGTGCTGCACTGGTTCATATATCAGATGTTTCCAGAATGATTTATGGCCAAGAAGATATCAAATAATATATTTAACTTTCTGATACTGAAGCTTGTGTATCTTAAAGTATAAATCTGATTCTGACAAGAGAACCATTATATTCACCTGAACCCAATTTCTTGCAGTATGGCCATGTGAGATCCCAGCAACTTTCAAGAAGAGGTTGTCTGCATTATGAAAACTCAGTTGCATAGTGATGCTGTATAGAGAAGGGCTCTTCAAGAAGTTATTAATATTTCTCTTGCTGAGTTTTGCTCTGAAAAAGAAACTTACTATTCTCTAATTAATCTCACTACAAAATGAATAAAATGGATTTTGTTCTTTCAGATATTCAGAATCAGATTCAATTTGGATATCAACAGATACACCTGCCCTTCAACCAGTCATCTCATATGTGATGGTGTGGGTTGTAGATGTGACAGAAAGCTTGACTGATGAAACTAGAATATAAAAGTTTAAGCTTTTTTTGACAGCAGATTCTGTACATTCTCTCTTGTCATTAGTATAAACATTACTTGTAATCAAATCTTCTTGTGATGGAAGATTACTAGCTACTGCACTTTCAAGTAACAAGATTTCTGGCTCATTTATCTCAATGTTCTCTTTTCCCATGTTGGCCAACCAGTTACTATAGTTGTCATGAACAAAATCTCATTCACCAGTAGAGATTTCAGTAGTGTCAAGATTATCAGCATGTTCTTGAATCTCTGAGTCTGTCAGAGTAGTCAATTTAGTCTGGAAAGACTGGAATTCTTGAAGATAGTCAAGCAACACTTAACATTTTATATGATGCCTCTCTAATCCACTCAATAGAAAGATTTACTTGCTACAAGCAGTACAACAGCAATAGAAAAACATTATTCAAAAATTTGATTGCTAGTAAATTGTTGCACAATAATAGAAACTTTATTTTATACTTACTCTGACTTCACTTTGCACTCACTTTGATCTCACTTACAGAGCAGTGTATTTTTACTATAATATTATAATAATATTTACAAGCTAGTTTATTTTAGGCTTAGCTTGACAGCACCATACAAGATATAAATATCTCTTCTCTTCCACCTTTCACAACTCTCAATATTATATCTAGCCATACTGCTGTGGCAGTTATAATCTGCAGCTGCAGCTGCTGCTCCTGCTGCAGAAAAGAGAGCATTGCTAGCTTGATCACTTAACAGCAGCATTTAATAAGTTCTACCAATATTACATCTTTTATAAGAATCTAGCTAATATTTATAAAGGTTCTGCCATATCAGAACCATTGCAAACAATCAGAGAAATCACACTATTTTATTATTTGTTGTCTTTACAGATATCAAGCATTTAATTAGTGATGCTGCAAAGAATTAAGTTGCCATAAGCTCTGTAAACACAGACTTCAATGTCAAGCATCTCATTAGTTATAAATTCAACAATACTAAGGTTCAAGCTGACATAAAACACTTTTTCTTCAAGATCATTAATAAGAACAACAAGTCCATTATCTTGAATTCAAAGACAAGACCAAACAATTTACACCAGAGAAGATTACCTCCATCATTAACAATGCTGGCATGACCATGCCAGTTTACTTTAATAACAAAGCAGTTTCCATCAGAGGAGATCTTCTTCATATCTTGATCAAGATGAGAGAGACAGCTGACTCTCATCTTGGTGGCACTGTTAACAATACTGGTATAACCATGCGAGTCTACTTCAATAATAAAGCAGTTTCTGCTGGGGGAGATCTTCTTCATATCTTGATCAAGATGGGAGAGACAGCTGACTCTCATCTTGGTGGTATCATTAATAATGCTGGTGTGACCATGCCAGTCTACTTCAATAATAAAGCAGTTTCCACCAGAGGAGATCTCCTTCATAGTCTTGACCAAGATGGGGAAGACAGCTGAATCTCATCTTGGTGGTACTATTAACAATGCTGGCATAACTATGCCAGCCTACTTCAACAATTCCCAGCATCAAGCTACCAAGAATGCTAGTTTTATTACTGATTTTAACATTTTCTATATCCTGAACAAGCTCAATATCATCATGATTATGCATGACTTTAGATTGAAGTTAGTTGCTATAGAGTTTCTTATACTTGCCATTCTGAAATACACATGTAGTATTGAGATGTTGTAATATGATATAGAGATTCTATATTATTTTCTTGTTATCATGCTTGCTTACTTGATCTACTGAGCTATTATCTAGCTGTAAGACATAGCATGTATTTTAGAAATGCTGCTGAAGGTTCACAGCTTCTACTTCAAATGTGAGAATATTAGATCTCATGCTACTTTTCTAGCTGTACAGCACAGAAACATGTTGTTTTGGATTTTCTAATTAGGCCAAGAATCTACACTTTATTTTTATTGCTATAATCTCCCTTTCAACTCTCTCTCTAACTACTAACCTATTCAGTCTTGCCAGCTATGCTACAAGCTTGCCAGCTCTCCAAATCAGTAAAGGTAAGCTCTTTATAGCCATGAATTCCAATCTTGAAAGAGCTTATAAGCTTGCTAAGTAGAGATTAGCAATATACAGACTTCTCTGCAAGATTCTCTTTGCAAAACAAGCTCTATAAGCACTTTCTTCCTCATAAGCAACAAGCTGATATTGAACTTAGACACCATTTGAAGACTTCTTTTGTGATATTGTGTGTTGTACATCTAGATATGCAATACATCTTCCAACTTGAAATTCTCATCATACAGCTAGCATGCTCCAATATCTACTATATTGAGTGACTGGTTATTATTCTAATATAGAGTTTAATCTAGCTTGAGAAATAGATTCTCCAACTTCATTAAAGAAAATAAGCACACCAAAGGCCTGCAAGACAGCCAAGGCTAAAGATCTTCACCCAAGTACAATCACTAGAGTTCATGTACTTGGTGGTAGCTGAATTTATGAAAACTAAGCAAAGCTTGCAGAATATTTAGGCTTCTCAACAACAGGCATGTTGTAAGAATAGATGCAATCAGATGAAATCAACTATATTTTGACTATATTCCACAAGAAATACAGTAATTTCTTTGATAGAACTGGCCCTGCATACAGATCTAAAATCTTAATCTGTATTAATGTAATGAAGAAAATGAAGCTTCTAATAATACAGGCAGAAATTTCTTTACTTGATAATAATCTTAAGAATCTTGAGCCTACTGATAATGTTTCTACTGTGGTATTATTATGGGCTGTTCAGCAATTAATTGCAAAATCTGAGAGAAGATTCAAAGATAATAACTCTGAGAACATATATAGACTTCTTCTTCTATTGAAATATATGGTACAGACAAGATCTGCCAGTCAGCAGCTTAAACAAGAAAAAGACTGTAAGCAAGATAATAAAGTAATTATTCCAAAGTATGCAGATCTGAATGTGCAAGATGACTCTGCTATAAAGACAGAAGCTGAGACTGCTATTACTGCAGCCATTGATAAAGAGTTTCAAGGCAATATTGAAATTGATTTTACTGATGAAAATGTTGATGCTGATTTTGAGAAGAACATCAATAATGCTGTTGAAACTGTGAACAAGATTATTCATGAGATGAGCTCTGATATTTCTTTGTCTTCTATGGATAAAGATACAAGAAAAGTCTTACTTGAAGAGTTTACCAAAAATGCTGTCAATATTGAAATACTGTTTGTGGAAAAGCACAGATCCAACAATAGACTAATAGCTGATGCTGAACATCTGGAACACCTTAAAATAAGTGATGATGATGATGACAACAAAGATTCTGTTAAGAATACTGGTGAGACTCTCTTTAAGCTGAATTACACATTCAATACAACTGGAGCAGAAGCTCCAGATTATCTTACTACTTGTTCTGACTTGAATGTGAACTCTGTTGCAAATCTTACACTAAAATCTTGGCAAGTTACTGGGGTTGCTTGGAAATTAACACAAGAGCTGTCACCAGTAAGAGATGAAATTCTTGCTAATAAAGTAAGACTGGAAAAGACTGCACAATACTGCACTTTAATTCTCAAAGTGAAAGAACAAAAGTTGACTAGGCTATATTATTCTACTCTAATTATCTGTCTGAATGAAGTGATCACTAATTGAATTGATCAGATTGTTTGGTTCTTCTCTGATAGTGCATGTATTTGAGCTCCAATGATCTAGCTGTACAACATGAGACTCTAGATGCTGCTGTACAGCTAGATGGACCTCCTGGTGTATTTGGAGACATGCTTCAGCAGCTTCACAGGAAACTTGATTGGCTAACTGAAAACTTCTTTGAATGTGTAATACTTGATAAAGAACATAAAGTTAAAAATTCAAGAACCTCTGTTCACAAGGCCATTGCCTTGATCTCAAGAGATTATATCTGAATTGTGTCAGTAATTTCTATAATGAACAGAGTCTCTGATTTGTCTGGTTTTATGCAGCTTATCAATAAGAAATCTTTACATACAGATTTTGATTTTTGAGCAATTGACAACCCACTCAAAGTTTATGAGAAAGCACCCATATCTGGTATAGATTGCTTGCATATTCTGCACTTATTGCTCTACAATCAGCTTTTTTAATGTGATTTAATATTGTCATACTCTGCAATGATTGCTTTATCTTAAATTCTCAACCACATCCAGCTTTGTCAGACATATGGTCACTAAATAAATCTTGGTAGTATGCATGGAGTCATTACCATTGGCAGGGACATTTCAAGCTATAGTGTACAGATAATCAAGTGTAAAATAATACAGATAAAACAGCTGGTGCAGTATTACAGTATCCACTTACATCTTGTTTCAATACTGAAGAAAGAGACTGTTAGTGATATTCAAGAATCTTCTGAAAATGAAAATAATGTTAACAGCAGTTTTGATATAGCTGTTTATTACCAGCTCAGACATGCATTGTTTTCATTTGCTTTGAAAAATCTTTTTACTTCAACCATTGCAAAGTGCAAGAGTAATCTTTCTCAAGACATTAACTGAAAGTGTCACTCATTCCAGAGAATTGTGTAGCTTATAAGCAGAATGATTACTAATATCAATATTTTCTGTATTCTGGCCAACTGTATATGAATTACAGAATTCTTATGCTCAACAACACTGAAATATTTGATGTTTCTCAAGATTCTTTAAAAAGTTGTGGACATCAAGAGATATCATCTTTTAGTCTTTGTTGCTTACCTGACTGTTGAGTTCCATGTCAAAATCTTCTTGAAACTTCTTGAGTATAATGTTCTTTCACTGCAAGCAGGCCAGTTGTCCTAGAAACAGCAAAAAATACAAGATGTCTTCAATAATTCTGACAGCAATATTGAAGTTTTGGTCACTACTTACAGTACTTGCTCTCTTGACATTAATATTCATCACTGCTGCTCAGACATTGCCATGCTTGAACCAGTAATTAACACAAACATCACTTTACAGATCATGAGAAGAGTTCACTATCTTGGTTAAACAGAAAAGCAACAGATCTGAATTCTTTATAGTATAAATACATTTAATCATTTTGTTAAATTTAATCAAGTGAACAAGATGATCCCCTAAATTATTAGCATGACACAGAATATGTTTGACAATCTCAAAGACAAACTAGCTATATGGCTAGATGAACCCCCTCAAGATGTTAAGACTCAGAAAGATAACAAGAGACAGGATGATACTACAGCAAACCTACTGAATAAGACTGAGAATATTATGCACAAACAAGCAGATATCTTCTACTGTGAAATATTTAGACAGACTTGTTCACATTTAAAATACAAAAATATAACAGACTTAGAATTAGATAACAACATTATAAAAAAGATTTAGTAAATGCTCAGATTAGTTCTATTAAAGAAGCTGGTCATAATCAGCAAGACTCTTCTTGTGACATAATTATTAGTAAAATCTAGTAATAAGATGTCTGCTGAGTCAGATCCAGAGCAGCCTTTACAACATGCAGACCTATCAGAAAATAAGACTCTTACAGAAATCACAAAAGATGATTTAAAGACACCAGATAGTCTACACAAATCTTTATAAGACTCTACCCCTCTGTTAGAGTTCTAGCACCCAGTACACCACTTATTATTGAGCTTGAACATATGGATCTTGATGATTCACTCTTGACAGATTTCAGCAGCTTGCTATCTTCAGATAAAACAGACAACAATGACAAGAAAAATGAGACACCAGAAGATGGAACAGAAAATAGCAACAAGGAAATTGAGAAATCAGATACTAATAGTTAGAAGTGTAAAACTCTGCTTTGCACACAGTCTCTGTATAGCACTAAGAGATCAAGAATTTCTGAGAATTTATGATATACTTTAGTTTTTTACTCACATCTAAATGTAGCTTCATGAGTTTTTACAAAAAATAAGAATGCTACTAGCTTTGAAATTATCTATTTTAATGTGTAGAGTTAGAACTTCCAGATAGCTAAGAGCACAAAGTACTGGCAGGAGTGGCACCTTGGCTTGATGAGTAAAAGAGGCAACTAAAGAATAATTTGGTGAAGCCTGGCAGGCCCAGAGCCATTACAGATAGAAGAACTCAACCAAAGCTAATCCAGAGCAACAAGAAAATCAAAAATGTGGCCTGAAGTAAAACCAGAGCAATTATGTGGTGCCAAGGGCACTAAGACTGTCTACAGTGCGAAAAATTATACTAAAATTTGTGGGGTGTGGCGGGCCTGATGGGGATTTGCCAATGTATGTGACCTATGACCAGTTCTTCTAACACTGGGCCTATTTAGTAGCAGTCCATATTTTGTGCATAATGATCTCCACTTCTTCAGTAGAGTTGCATGGAGACTGACTTATAAATAAGATATTAGTTTTAAGATTCAGAGAGCTTATATTATATCCATACATCAGAAAGAAAAAGCTCACTTCTGTTGATACAGTATTATGATTATTGATTGCTAACTTAGCTAGTAGCAGTCATTGGACCCAGTTATTCTATGTAAAGTTAATGAACTTTCTAAGATAAGTCTTTAATATTTAGTTCATGTGTCCTGTAAATCCATCAGTCTCAGAGTGTGCAGTTATGGAGAGATATCTCTTGATTTTCAACAGCTGGCACAGACACATTCAAAAGCCATCTACAAATTGTAATTTCTGATCAGAAACAATAGCTGTAGATAGTTCATGACAGTAGTATATGCTTTATATAAAGACTTGAACTACTGTTTCAACTCTAATATTCTTGCATGGTTTAAAGATAACTTCTTTGCTGAGTCAGTCTCTAATGATTATAATATTTGTATATTCTTCTGATTCTAATAGATTAATAATGAAGTTTATTAAGAGTTCTGATCAGATTTAATTAGAAATAGACAGAGACTTCAGCATCTTTTTTCAGTAACTTCTTTATATTATTGTTGTCTGACAGAGGTCACAGTTCTGTAAAAAGTACAATATATTCTTAGCAAACCCAGGCCAGAAATATTCATATATAAGTATAGAGATCATTTACTCTTTATTCAGATGGTCTGTTATTACAAAATTATGAGTTTCTTATATAATCTGTGTGTGTAACTCTTTAGAATCTGAAATCAAGTCCTGTTCCTGAAAGCAGAGCTTATTATTGTTATTAAGTGAGCAGTCTGATATAAATATCTTCACTAGAAGCTTAGAGAGAAACTATAAGCATTTATTGTTGAAAGCTTGTTCCATCTCTTGAAGTTGCATGTCTGTAGCACATGTGTGTTTCCAGTGTTTGACTAATAACAGCTTCATTGTATTGTTCACCCTGATAATGTGGCAGGCCATTACACTATTTATAACTATATAAGACTTTAGTAGCTGTGCTTCTTAGTTCTTCAGCTGTTCATTATTAGTGTTGACTGGCACATCTTAATTACATTATAAGGGCACATCCAGTCCTGTATTGAGCTTTCCAGAGCAGTAATTAATCTGAAAATTAAAGTTGTTCAGGATGTCTATCCATGATATCTGCCTCTTATTAAAATATTATTGAGTCATGAAGTTGTCTAGGTTCTTGTAATCAGTAAGAATTTTGAATTTCTTAATATTATAGAGCTTGAAGTCTCATTCTTGTAGACACGTCACTATAGCTAACAGTTTTTTATCATAAATCTCATAATTGCATTCAGAAGATATATTTTTTCTTGAGAAATAGATATATGATTATAGCATGCTCTTTCTGTTGTATTGCAAGAGCATGCTCTCTATTATATAGTCTGAGAAGTCTGTCTTAACTACTGTTTCACAGCTTGTATCAAACTGTAAGAGAATAGGTACAGTAGTAAATATATTCTTTAGAAGCTTGAAGACATTATTATATTTCTTGATTTATTTGAATTTGCTGTCTTTTCTAGTTAGTATTGTAAGCAGTGCCACTATTTTAAAGAAGTTCTTTATAAACTACTGATAGAAGTTTGCAAATCTAATAAAGTTACACATACTTCTAACTGTTATGAAGGCTTTTTATTTCAGTATAGCTTGCATTATTTCAGGGTCTATTCATACATCTGTACCAGTCTCAATAATAAATCCCAAATACTTTGTTGAAGTGACTTAAAACTTATATTTGCTAATGTCAATATGTAAGCCTGCTTCTCATAATTATTGTAGCATCTTCTATATGTGCTTCTGGTGTTCTTTGCACAATCCAGTGAAGAAGATTAAGATATCATCTATATAGACAGAGCAGAACTTATTCAGATAGTCACAAAGCACCTAATTAATATATTTCTGAAAGATGCTTGAAGTATTCACAAGACTAAAGAAAGTAATCATTAATTCAAAGAGTTTGTATTATATTCAGAAGACTGGTTTTTATTATCTTCTGATATTCATATTTAATGAAATACTTAAATAATATCTAGCTTTGTGAACCATTTAGTGTATTCAACCTGTTCCAGAGTTTCATTAATTAGAGGCAACAGATATTAATCTTTCTTGATCAGCTTATTTAGTTTTCAATAGTCTATACAGAAATATAGATCATCACCAGACTTCTTGATAAAGAGAACCAGAACAGCTATACTAGACTTGCTGACTTGAATGAACTTCTTGTCTAGTAAATTTTTTAGTGTCTTCTATAGAACTAGGACCTTCTTCTATGATATGCTATATAGTGGCTCCTATGGCAGCTAAGATTTCTTTCCATTCTTTGCTATTAATTTGATCTGATGGTTGATTCCAGATCTATAATAGAGAGATAGCTTGTTAGCATTCTTCATACTGAAAATATCTAGAAATTTGTGATAGTATCTTGGTAATTTTACTTGAGAGTCTGGATAATTCTTCTCACAGACAGTCTTGTCAATATTAGTCAGACTAGTAGCAAAAACATGACCTTGTTTGATCTTCTGTTTCTGATGCCAAGTTATTAAGCCGCTAGCTAAGATTTGCAATACTTTC